TTATATGTTTTCTTCTACCCGGAAGATTGAGGCAATACGTTCCTCCGAAACGTCGGTTAACACCACTTATACACGGTGCTAAATCCCAAAAGATTGCTTTCTTCAAATACAAAATACTATATATGAATAGGGACCAACGTCTGAAAATGAAGTCACGACATCGTGTGAAGGTCTCACTGCGGGTCTCACTCACTGACCTACAGCACAGAGTCCATACAGAACGTAATATGCAACAGGGTCTGAAAATGCATATAAATGAAAAGGAATGTAGCAGAGACACACGCTGCAACCACCTACCTACCAGTCTTGGGTATAAACAGGTCACTGCAATCCACTTACCTCACGATCTGTAAAAGACAAAAAAAAACAATAATCAATACAGATACGAAAATCCATAAAAGGAAAGCAAAGACTTATGCGAAATGTTAGCAATAAAAAGGCTTCTCTACACTGGAAAGCATCTCAAAGCTCTCTTCCGGCTGCATCACTCCGTTTGATCCTCTGCAAAGTAGAGCCGTTTCAGTCCGCAGCAAAATAAAATCAGTCTTCACGGCATTAACTCTAAATTTAAATTTTCGGAACTGTTTCGTACCAATAGCATCAGCAGGATGAATGGTATCAGCAGTAGTGTGCCGACGGAGTCTTAATGTAAAACTGTATTCCCTTTATTGTTATTTAATGAGAGAGTATCCAAATATGAATTGATTCTCCTTTATGTTGTTTGAAGAGAGGCTGAATTCTGGTAATGCTTGCTACCATTCAGTCCAGAACCTTTTGTCTGCTTGCCTGCTGTCTAAAAACATAAAAATTACAATGTACAGAACTATATTTTGCCTGTGATTCTGTATGGGTGTGAAACTTTGTCTCTGATATTAAGAGAGGAACATAGACTAAGGGTATTTGAGAACAGGGTGCTGAGGAGAATATTTGGACCGAAGAGAGATGAAGTGACGGGAGGTTGGAGAAAACTGCATAATGAGAAGCTTCATAACTTCTACTCTTCTCCAAGTATAATTAGAATGATCAAGTCAAGGAGGATGAGGTGGGCAGGGCATGTAGCACGAATGGGGGAGACGAGGAATGTGTATAGGATATTGGTGGGAAGCCAGAAGGAAAGAGACCGCTGGGAAGACCAAGGCGTAGGTGGGTGGACAATATTAAAATGGATCTTAGATAGACAGGATGGGATGGTGTGGATTGGATTGATCTGACTCAGGATAGGGACCAGTGGAGTGCTCTTGTGAACATGGTAATGAACCTTCAGGTTCAATAAAATACTGGGAAATTCTTGAGTAGCTGCAGAATTGGCGGGTCCTCCAGAAGGGCTCAGGTCCATGAGTGAGTAAAGTAAGTACTCTTTATGTGAAGGTCATGTAAATCTGTCCATCTCTTTGTGAAATAGCATCAGCGCCTAAACCCTTTAAACAGGTAAAGCTATCCCTGTAACAGGCCGTGGAGGCCCATACGGTTGTGAGACCTTGAGATTCCCATATTTTCTAGATAACCGGCTAACAGATGGCATATTGCCTCAATCAACTACACTACCGCGTGCCCCCAAACCGTTTAAATAAACTTTTTAAAAATCTACAATGCAGATTATCACTAAATGTTGTCGGGCCCTTTCACTTTTTGTTACAATAGGAAAGAAATAACGGACACATTAACAAAGACCTACAAGTGTTTATGTGCTCATCTCGGCTACTAACTCGAGCTAACTCTGCGTATTTATGGCAGCGAAAAATATTTCAATTAAAAAAATGTAGGGAGAAATAAAATATACATTTTATGTCTGATACTCCTTTCTCCTGTCGAGGAACTCAAGGAAACTAAACACAAGAAAAGTTGTAACTGCGTCATGTCATAACTTGGCCGGTCCCAGTGGCCGCGTGGTCTAATGCATCAATCGTCTTCGCCCGCTCGAAAACTGAGTTCGTAGGTTCAAATTCCACTCCAGGCAATGATGTCTGTGTGCATCTGTTCTTTGTTTGTGTTGTTCTGTGTCCTACTGACTGTGTATAAAATTAAGAAACTGAACACGCGGCCAAGGTCGAAAGGGCTGTAAAGCCATAGAAAAAAGAAAATAGCATAATTTAAGAACTACTGGACTGATTAATGATAAAATCTTATAGCGAAAATCAGCGCTCAAATGTGTGGAAGGTTAAGCCTGTCATTAAGTTTGCTTTTCTAGGAACTAGTGCCAACGCTCACAGCACTGAACCTGCTTTTCTTTTAATTTCTCATGAAGAGTCTTTCATCAAAAAATTGTCGGAGAATTTTAATTATCAGCCAAAATGTCCCATAATAACGTCCATTGTCATTAATGAGCTTATTAACGTATGCCTGAAACGTAAGCCGTTAATTAATTTTTATAAACGCACCATAAGTAGGCTTAATATTTAAAGTAAATTGCTAAGAACGACGTGAGAATTTCGTTCATGTGTACCGCATTACGGAGGACACCGCTTCAGTCTCGCAATAACTCTGATTTTAAACACAAATATATGTGTCTTGGTTATTTAACTAAGCTGTTTAAAATACAAATGTTACAAGGTACTGAATGAGAAACAAATTAACGTTGATAAGAGAAGGAATGTCGGTCACGGTAGCCAAGCGGTCTAAGGCATGTACTGTCTTCACTCGCTTGGAAACCGGGATCGTGGGCTCGAATCCCACTCAGGGCATGGATGTTTAGTGTGCATTTTTCTGTGTTTGTGTACAGGCAGAGGCCTTGCGACGAGCTGATCACCCGCCCAAGGAGTCCCACCGAATGTCTAAAATCTAGAAAAACCGAAGTGAACGGAGAAGTTCACGCAGGAAGGCCTAGGCCCACTGGGGCTGTAGTGCCAAGGAACAAAAAAAAAGAGAAGGAATGTCGGTCACTGCAGCCGAGCGGTCTAAGGTATGTACTGTTTTCGCTCGCTTGGAAACCGGGATCGTGGGTTCGAATCCCACTCAGGACATGGATGTTTAGTTTGTGTGTGCGCGCCCAAGGAGTCCTACCGAGTGTGTAAGATCTAGGAAAATTTAAGTGAACGGAGAAGTTCATGGAGGTAGGCCTAGGCCCACTGGGGCTGTAGCGCCAATAAAAAAAAAAAGAGAAGGAATTCAAGAGGTTTCGACTTCTGGACGGACTGAAACATATCGACGATAACCCCCCAATCTCTCTCTAAACAGACTCGATAGAGATGCATGTGGAATACGAAAAGGTGAATTAAGCAATGGACCATAAAATTCAGTAAATTTTACGATATCTGTGACTTTACTCGTAGATATATCAGTCGAGAAATGATCTACATAGATAGCCCTTCGGTAGGAATCTTCCTTATAAAAACAATGTTTATAATCCATTCAGAAGGAAATGAAAGCAAGAGAGAAGCGGAAACAGCTTGCAAGCATAGCTCTCTTTAGCGATGGCTAGGGAAGATCCATGCATACACAAGTTTCGATGGTAAGTTAAGATCTCGGATTATTGACACAAGAAGAGGAGGAAGAACACAGCTTCCTCGGGAAATGTTTGTCGTAGGATGCATAGAATTTGGACCAATATTTGCTTCTGGTTCGCTCAGACCGGATCGAGATAACAGAGACTCAGCATAGCGTGTCTTACAGTACCAAATGATCCACTGCGCTTGACACACAACCGCAAAATACATCTTTGGCGCATGAAACAACGCCCTGTAACAGACTAATATATCTGTATGCACCGATAAACTGACAGAGCCTAAACAGTTGGTTCAAAATTCGTTAAACCTCCATAACGCATAACCCAGGAACTGCGATAGCTCCGTCTGAGTTCGATTCCAAGTAGAGGAAAGAGAGATTTCTCTGCTCTATAGCATCCAGACCGACTCTGGCCTCCTTTACAATGGTCATCGAGTGCTCTTTCCCAGAAGATAAAGCGATTGGGGCGTGAAGCTGAACACTAGCATCCATCTAGTGCCACGCTAAAAATTGATGGAGCTGTACCTCCACTCCCCATAATTCTTCCTAGGGTACTGCTTAATGACCCATCGTAAGTACAACATAATTTTTATAACATACTTTGGCATGCATCTCCCTTTCTGGATAACTTAACTTGGTGGTTATAACATAGTCCTCTTACTGTTTGAACTCAAGCTCATTATTCGATCATGTATATATTTTATCATTCGGTTATTTTATGATGCCGCCTTGTGTCCAGTATATCTCGGGTCTGGATACGGAATTTCAATGCGGAAATCTTGAACTAACTTAGCGCGGCTGGGTAAAGTCAGAGTTGCGCCAGAGGCGAACTTGTTTCAACTGCTCATGGACCCGACTGTTCCTAGTGCGGGTCTGAACTCCCCTGGGAAATCATGGCCATCTTAGTCCTGTTAAAGCAAAATGTGACTTATGTATAACGTAAAAGAGGAGCGAGGAGGCCACGACGACGTCTCCCAGGAGTTCAAACGAAACGTCGAGCAAACTCTCGCATAACTACCGGTTGCAGAGTGATGATGGTTCAAGTAGACACGGCTCAAAACTGCGTGAAGATTGTACGGGAACTTAAATTTCAAGCCATCTATGTAATTTTTTCATAACATATCCACGACAACATACAAATGTGCACAATGCGCCATATTTTAAACCTGTCACTCTATAGGACGTGTTTAAATACCGAAACAATATCGGGCGTTGATCACAATTAAACTCTTTATCATTTATGTGCCGAGAAAACAGATACATGGCGAATTATAGAACAAGCACAGTGCAGATACCGTTCTCACAGCGTGTACTCACAATTTACATTGAAGACAATATTCACAAGGATAGTTTCGGAAACAGCGCAGTAGAAAACTACTGTTTCTACCGTACAGAATAAGCAGAAGCAAACGGATGATTATAATAATAAAAGAAGAAGAAAAGCAATAACGTAGTTCTGATAAAACCAGTAAAAGTGATAATAGTAACAATAATTAATTAAACCTTCATTTCTTTTTAAGTGCTATATCAGTAAGGTGAATAAACAATTCCTGTGCTCAACTAATTAAGCACTACACCATGAATGCATATGGGGGAGTGGATATATAGATCCACATTTTCTTGACCTCGGCACTATTTGGGAATGAGTGGTCAGCTTCATGCCCAGGTCGCTTTACCACGGGGAACGAACCCCCGGTACCCATTGGATAGCAGGCTGGGTGGGTCCCAGAGCCGGTCTGGACAATGTGGAGAAGAGGAAATTCTTGGCCTTATCTGGACTCGAACTCCGACGCCTCGGTCGTCCAGCCCGTAGCCAGTCGTTATAATGACTGAGCTATCCGGACTCCCTATATAAGAGTAGTAACATTAATAATAATAATAATAATAATAATAATAATAATAATAA